TTGATGATAACGTCAGATGTTATCATTTTCCTTAATTCCCTTTGAGTCTTAACTTACACACAACCCAAAAAATAAGAAAAAAGACAGCAGATTCAACATTGATAAAACGTTTGCTGAATTTAAGCCTGTCGACTGAAAAACTGGGTCCTTTTAAATTCGGAACGGAACGCTAACGTGTATTTTATAACAGCACTCTCAAAAACATGCATTTGTGTTCAATGCACTCACTCAGGCAAGACATATTTCATAGTGAGCAAATAAACTACTTAAATCTGGAGCTAGTTAGACAAAGTATGGTTTAGACACACAAAAGACAGTCAAATGGTCATTTCTGACGTATAAGTCTTGCCTTTGTCTGTGTTCAAGTCAAAGTGAAACGAGTGACTTCCGTTAGTGCTTGGCGAAAGTTTGTTTATTAATTTCAAACTAAGGTTCGTTAACCTGTTTAAAATCCTACTGCAGAAGCCTAGCTATTATATCTCAAGTCGTTTTTTTCTCAGTTTTGCACACTGTTTAATAACTGCATTCCTATTTTACCCTCTAGGACAAATTTTAACCGACCATAAGAGCCTATTGGAACCTTCAGGATTAATTTGTGACTGTCAAAAGTATGTTAAAATCATGCAAAACCCGTTAAATGAACGCATCGGCAGCAGTTATACTGGGAATTCCAGTGATACACTCTATTGGACTCTGATAATTATTTTTAACTGGTGCAATTCTCTGGAAGTTTTAATAAGGGGCATTAGCGAGGTCAATGCTTTCGCAATCCATACTTTCGTTCAAAATATAAGGAAAAAGCAGGAAGTTCAAGTAGCCCTTAATTATCGCAAATCATCGACAGCAAGATTAAACTTATTTAAATAATTGTCTGAGTATTATCATATTGAATTTCGCTGTTCTTGCTCTATTTTAAGGCGTATAGCATCCTGACTACCCGGGTTTGTCGGGCCGACAATAAGCCTTTTAAATTTAAGTTGTATGCACGTATACTATGTTCACTGCATGGTTTGTTCTTTAAGCAAAATGAGTACAAAAATCCAGCGCGGATCAACTACCTGCTGACACTTTGCGCCTATCCTGATTGTAATATTCCATATAATAGAAGGGGCTTTCTTTAGGAAATAATGCCATCCCTGAGTCCTTGCCCAGGCTGCTTTCATTTTTGTAAAGACTATTCATATCGTCCAGCAGGTCGTCATAGCGTCTTTCCCAGTCCTCATCCAGACTGAGATTTCGTTTTTGTACGTCTGCGACAGACGACGAGGTGGATGAGGAGGAGGTGTGATGTGTGGGGGCGGGAAAATCCCCATTTGAATAATCCAAGTACTCGTGAAGAGTCCGCATCGTAATCTCCAGCGGCCGCGCTTAAAGC